GTCCAGAAATGAGTTCAAGTCGGTATCCCCAAACTAGCCACCAACCCCCACATCACAGAGCTCTCTACCTAGGAACCAATCTTTCTATCCACTAGGTCATCAAATTTAGAGCAATGTTCTCTCTCCACAGCCACGCACCCCATGCCCAATGGCTCTTCCTGGCATTTGTAGAACACCTGAGACAGTAACTGCAGATAGCAATCACCACGTGTTAAAAACAAACAAACAAACAAAAAAACAAACCTACACATGTACAAGTGTATAAATAAAACTTTCCAAAGATGTTTACTGGTCATCTTTTCTAGAAAACCTAGAACCTTTCCTCAGATTTCAAGTACAAGATGGCTCAGTGGGTTGCTGTCAAGCCAAGCCTACCGGATCCTTGGTACCTACATCAAGTTAGGAGAGAAGTGACTCCCTTGAGTTGTTCTCTGACCTCCACACCTAGACTGTGGCAAGTCCTCCCTTCCCCACAAAATAAATAAATTTAAAAAACTATTTTAAGTAGAGTGGACCACTTTCCTTTTTCTTTTATCAACCTCTCATCTCCACCCTCAATTTGATGCTCACTATTCTATGTGGCTAGTTGAAATTTCTTTCTTCCTTTGTTTTTTGTTGTGTTCTCTCTTCCCTCCCTTCCTGTTCCTTTGGTCACTGTCTCCTTCATTAGAATCTGAGTAGTTCAAGAGGCGAGGTAACCAACTCTGGTCTCAAAATACCCAGTAAAGAGCCTACACGCACAAGAGGTTCTCAGTAACTGGTTGTTCACTGTTGAATTTGCTTCTGCTAGCAAAGGTAAAGGCTGCATTAGTAGGCCTGTCCCTTTGGCAAGTGCTCGCTCTCTAGACAGTTGTGTGAAGGCATGTGCTTGAGGCTGCCCTGGTAGCAGACCCCTGAATCCCCACTTCTAGAATAAGGAACAAACTAGAGCATACCCCCACACCAAATGTTGAAATACCTCCCATAAGAATAGCTGTGGAGTGCTTGCTTACTCCATGTGGGATGCCCTTCTGAACAATTAACAGGTATTAATTCATTGGTTCAAAACCTATGATATAGACACTAATGTGTTCCTTCTTTTCCAAACGAGCAAACAGAGGCCCAGGAAGATGAAGTTATTTCTTCCCTGACTATAATCATAGGTGGACACCAGTCCCAAGTCTATGCTCCTACTTTGATGACAGCTATCACTTAGGCCCTGGGTACCAGGCATAGGGTAACTGCCTTCTTATTTATGCTCATATATCCTCACAGTGGTCCTCGGAAGCAGGTATGCATGTGACAGCCCCATTTCAGGGATGTAAAAACTGAGGTTTGGAGGTGTGAAATCCATTGCCTAATGGCATCCCATTCTAGTAAGCAGTAGAGCTGGATTCCAGCAGCCCAAAGACACAGCCTGTATTCTTAAGATCTTAAACACACACTAGAGCTGGAGTCTGGCAGTCAGTCCAAGGGACTGCCAGTATTCTTAAGCACTCTGCTCTTATACATGGCTTCAAACTAATGGTCCCTAACTCTCTCTCACTCTCACTCACTCTCTCTCTCTCTCTCTCTCTCACACACACACACACACACACACACACACACACACACCAGACAGGCAAGACAAAGCAGTGGCAGCTAGAGAGAGGCAGTAAAGAGAAGTAGAACAGGTGACAAATAGGAACTCTAAAGGCCTATCTCAGCAGCTTGACCATTTGCTAGCCAGAAGCATGGTTGTCTTGTCCTACATCCAAGGAAGACTGGAGACATCAGTGAGAACATCCCCAGCCCCGAGAGGCTCTCTTGGACTGTCAGCCTACCGTTTGGTGGTACTACCTGCATGCTTATTCTTTTAACATCAATCTTCCTGGCCAATCAGAAAGTTCCAGATGGGGCAGATTTTAGTCGGAAATATCCCCAGCTCCCAGCACAGGACCTGGCTCTACATTGAATTAGATATCTGCCTGTCATGTGGCTTTCCTTACAGTTCAGTCTCCCAGGCTGTTTCTTCATAGGCGTGCAAAACCCTGAGTAGTGCAAACCCTGGCCCTCTTACTCCCTGGCTGGTTCTGGTATTTGGGGAACCAATTGTACCATTTAACTTTACCTTGTTTCATTGTGTCTTTCACTTTCTCTGATGGCTTCTCCTAAACCCTGGATACCAAGCCTGGGTTGTTCTGTGATGACTATGTTTGTCCCCTGGCTCAGTCTCTCTCCTTGTCCTCAGTTAAGTGTCCTTCCTTGAATCTGTCCTGCTTGGCCTCTCTGTACTTGGTGGAGACAGTGGGCTTCTCTCCCTGATACTGGGTGTGTGGGTGGGAAGCTCTGTCTGGCTCACCCCTTGCTCCCCTCCCCCTCCAGGGTCAGAGCTCAGGCTCACGCACCACGCTGGGGACTGGTTGGGCACGCGCACATCCTTGCACACCAGCAGTACGTAGCTGTACTTGAGCACGTGGATGAGCCTGTAGAGCGGGGGCGTGCTAGCCCAGGGGCTCCGGGCCACATGGGTGGAGCTCTTCACTGAGAAGACCACCAGTCGCTGCTGGCACCATTTGTCGAAGAATCGGCTGAACTCAGCCCAAGAGAAGAAAGCCCGATCCAACAATTCCTGTTCCTCCTTCTGCACCGCTGTGTCTGGTGGGGGTTCTGTCAGCTCCATCTTGGGGCCCTGAATGGAAGTGGGGAGAAGAACTGTACACAAGTCCCATCCCCACCTGGGTTACCCCATTTTCTCTATTCACAGACTGTCTTATCAGCTGCTGATACCTCACCTATGTCTCTGGGCAGATCAAAGTGATTTTACTGTCTGTTTTCCAGAGGGGACTCTCCAGCCCATTTTTGTGGTCCACCTGTGGCTTGCTTCCCTAGGTTCGGTTGGGGCAATTTCAATCCTAGTCCCAGTTACCTTAGATGCCATCTCTAGATACAAGTGGAATCACTTCTTCTAAATATTTGCCTTCAGCCCAGCTGTGGGCATCTTTGTAGATGCATTCTTAGCTTCGGGCTGAG